ACAGTATTAAGTATCTTAAAAACAAACAAAAAGAACTTGGCTGATTTGATGGGGGGAAAGTGTTAGCTTACCAATTAAATTTGGATAAACTTTAAAAGAGTCAATCATAGATTTCATGCTTATTTCTAAACATGTTTCACAGCAATGCTTAGAACATGTTAAGGACATGCTACCATATTTATAAATGCTATATGTGAAATCTCAAGTTTTGTGCAGTCCTCATCCTGTGTTTGTCGTTTTGTGGTTTTAGTAGTGCAGGTACATTCTACACACACACCCTATACTTAGGCATGAAAGTAGTCATTTCCAAATCACTTGTTTTAAAATACTAGAAAGAAGTTGAAAAACATGCCACTAGTTGACATTTTGCCAAGAGAAAACTATTGGCTAATTTTAAGCAATTTTAAAGAATATTGAATATCTAATTTCATAACTGTTGACTACTGAATGCCTACTATGTGCGGATACATTGCAAGGTGTTTGAAGTATATTGTCTCAAATCCTCAGCAACCCCATTTTAAGGACTTTGAGAACCTGAGATTCAGGGAAATTGAGTGACATACCTGGTAAATGGTAAAGTGAGATTTCCAGCTGGCTTTTGTACTCTAAAGACAGACCTTTTATCTCAAACTGTACTACCTCCTCAGACTAAATGGGAGTAGGTTTGGAGTAGATCTAACATCCGCTCTAAATAGCCCCACTGTCTCTCTGAGAGCCCGAGGACCGGAAAGTCAATATTTTTAAAACAGTGTAGACACCAAATTAAGTGCTGGCCTCATTCATCATATGTAGACAACTTTCTTCTTCCCAAAGGAGTGGCCAAAAAGAGGTAAGAGGCAGTGGGGAAGAAGAAAATAAGGAATCAGAGAAAGAAGACAAAAAGTGGAGTCTGGGGCTGAGGGTATATAGATGTGTCTGATGACATCATTCCTCAGTACACTTGCCATACTTAGAATATTAACTGCACAATAAGTTCATTAACTCTCTAATTTGTTGTGTTATGCTCTTCACTCATGAAATGCTGGTCAGGTAGATGCATTCAATATTACATCCCCAGTGGTGAAATTTGTCATCTTATGATAAGATAAATACAAAACTGGTGAACTTTTATGAATATTGCCTCATGAATCTTTCTGGAGAACTCAAAGAAAAGTATTCTAGCAATTCTTCTTAGGAGTGAGATACATCTCATCAGCCAGGGTCTGATTAGATACATCTCATCAGCCAGGGTCAGCCAGTTAGCCATGCATTAAGATCAAATATTTAAACTGATTACCAATCTTAGAAACTATTGGCTATAGAACCAGGTTCAACAAATGTGTTTACGACCAAGTAGATGGCAGAGTTATCCCCCACTCCATCTCTAACCCATCCTCACTCAAAACCAGGTAGGTGGGAAATGGTACATTCTCTGTCTCCAGTATTTCATCTTGGAAAGACTCTGAACAGTTTTCTCCCAACTTTTTCGCCCCTGTTGCTCCTAAAAGATTTGGTAAAACTCTGTACCCTAAGCACATTTTTAAGCTAATTTCTAAAACTTTTCATCCTAAATCTAAATAATTGCATGTAATTTTTCCAATATATTATAAATATTGACCTTTTAAATTGTTACATCTATTTAAAAATTCTAATAGGATCTATATTTGATTCTCAGTATTACTCATTTTTAAAAATGCATGAATAAGTTTTTCAACAGTTAAAAATTTTACATCTTTCCTTTTTCTCCTTAAACTTATATTTCCATTTCCCTATTATAGAATTCTGTCCCAATGTAATATATTTTTATGTTTAAAAATGTCTTAATGATCACTGATACTTTCTGTAACAAAAAAAGTATGTAAATTGAAACAGTATTTTGTGTGTGTGTGTGTGTGTGTGTGTGTGTGTGTTTTGTGACCATAAGGCTCTTTGTATTTAAAAATTTGTATTTAAATATTTGTATTTAAAAATTTCCAAAGAATTGGAAATTACCTGACTTAGAAAAGGAGTTGTTACCAAATGCTGGAGCCTTTACTCCTCCACATCAGCATTTTTATTTGTTCCTTTGTTTGTCACCCTGAGATCCTGACACCCTGGCAGTTGAGAAAGATCTGGGGAGGGTAATGCAAATAAATGACTTTTGTAAAGTGGGTGAAAGATCGTTGTGAAGGAGAGGTGTTGAAGGACAACATGGAATGGAGGCCCTCCAACACAGTCATGGGACGGAGGCCCTCCAACACAGTCATGTTCCCAGGCAGATCAACTTTTAGACAAGATGACATGTGGAAGTTTGGGATCTGGAAATCAGTTTCCTTAAAGGTGTGATGGTGAACCCCTAGAAAAATGTTGGCTTTACTTCAGACATGTACCCCAGTTCCAAGATCACTGGTCTAGATCAGTGAAGGATGAGTTCATGGCCCTATTTGCTGAAGGGAAAGGAAAACCAAGGCTATGTGGACTAAGGGAGAGAGAAAAGATGGTAGGAGTTGGAGGCAGCTGTTTAGATAGACCAGCAGCAATCTCCCCTAACTGTGTGGAGGAATCAGAGCTGATTCTAAGCCCCAGCCGTGTTAGGGGGGTACTCTGGGCCACTCTGGCCCTTGCTTTGTGCCGTGGTGCTTTAACTTTACCATTTGAGTGCCTGGAGGGCTGAAGGAGCAGAAACATAGACACTCAGATCAAAGAGAGGCTCCAAGTGGCTGCAAATGTCAAAGCTGTTTCTAGATCCATGTTTTTATCTTTGAAATTAATTCTCAAAATCTACTCCATGAGCGATGTTATTTTATACATATAATTTATTTCTAAAGTAACTTAGTGTAAATCTTGCTTCAAGAAGATGTGCTAT